TTGACATCGTTCTCTCTTCTGACTGCCGTTATCAGTCTCTCTCAATTTTTTCCTTTTATTGAAAGTCATGAAAACACTATCGTGGAGTTTTTCTTTTGCTATTTGAGCAAATGGGAATGCAAAAAATATATTTGTGGTACTCTCCCATTCACTGCTCTTCAAGTTAACCCAACTATGACGACTTCCGCTGCTGAGAAACCCGGAAATGTGAAAGGTCCATTCTATGTGGAGTATACTGTTAGCCTAATTGACCTATCAGTAAGCCCTGCCCCCCTTAGTTACTGTTGCTCCCTCGGACAAACAAACGGAGCTGCTCACGGTCTTACAATGACAGCTGTCAGTGTGAAAGCCTCGTCACAAGACGTTCTTGAACAATTTTGGACACAAAAGGACCACCATTCAAGCGGGAATTAAATATGCCATGGAGGGATATCTAAAAGATTTTAAAATAAATATGGTGGGTAACTCAATTAATGTGGAAGCGAGGGTTTACAGATCACAGTGCATACGGGAGAAGCCTCATGTTATGTTCGTCACGATAGCAGATGACAACATGCAGGATCAACACTGTTCATGTATCGCAGGGTACCATTAAATTAATTAACATTTAACCATTTTAATATGGAGAAAATGAACGTTTTCGTCTTCATTGGGTTTAGAGTTGAATGCTTACGGCCATTTTGTTTGGGTTTAGGAAATATAATAAAATAAATTCCATTGCCCATCCTCTCAGGATAACTGGAATTAGTGTTACAAGTACCCCAGGCACATCGTTGTTCCATTTTTGTAGCATAAACGCCATCAAACCAATGCGAGCTTCGGATCCTCCAATGTTTCTCTATGGCGCTGAAACCTAAAGATGTCCAAGTTCAACTGATACTCGACTGCCATTGGCTCATCTGCGTTCGAGGGGAGGTGCTTACCGACAGGTCAATTGTTTAGAAGCACTTACAGGTTTAAGCTTTGAGTGCGGTCTAAAAATCACTATACAAAGTGAACATAATATTGTTAAAAATACCAACTAGTTAATTTTACAATACAGCTGGTCACATGACTTCAACATGGCCACACCCATGAGGGGCGACCCGCTCCAGGTAGAACTAAACGGCTTTTGCCATAAGTTTGAGTCTTCCTCTCATGTGAGTTTATCATTTTAATGATATTTCTCAGCCCATCTCTGTCTAAACCCTTATGACAAGAAATTAGTGAATGCACCTTATAATCAATAGTTTTCCACACAATACGACCGCTCATGAAAGAACTGCTAGTGAATGGGCAACAGTTCCCTCAGGCCGCGTAAATATCCGGGCCATTAGCGTTAAAAGCGGTCATGAACTTCTAGAGCTGAATTCTAGAATGAGACAGGGTGTGATGAGAGAGAGACATGCGGTTATCTACAGACCTGCTGGCGTTACAAGGGCAGGGTGATAACACAGCATGACATCAACGCGATTCAAACGATAATTTCCAGTCAAAACGAGGCAGTGACCAGACAAGCTCCAAGAAGTAGCACAGGCAGCCCTTGTCCATATCAAACGACGGTAGTCCATGATAGTCCACTCACACTATCGATTTTCTAGGAGCTTTAGTAGTTTATTCGGGTAAAAAGAGGCGAGCGGGTCAGAATAACACACGACAGCTATGTGGACCGGCGCGTGCACTAGATTCGTTTGTCAAAGTGAAGCGATGCTACCAGTTCGCGTTTCGATTCAAATCGAATTGAATTCCTTAACATCAAATCTTTTATTTCTCAAGCACTGTACATTTTAAGCTGACCCCATGTTAGAAGAAACCCCCCACAAAAGGCAGCGATTTGTTTGCATTTCCAAGCCAGATTAATATTTGACGCAAGCCTATTTATATTTTGCTTTAGAAAATAGGATTTATTATATACGCGACAACAAAAATGTCCATCAAGCGGCATTCGTTTTATCCCAAGATGAATCGCTACATGTAACCACAGCAGCCATGCGAGTCGTGTCATTAGTTACGATGCCCTTCACGGGCTGTGATTAAGTGCAAACGTATATTTAAAAAAAGAATCGTTGTTACAAACGGAGCACAGGCCGCTGTTCAGTTCATACCATTTGTGTGTAAACCGATGCATCCTTTAAAAGCCCAGCCCAACCCAAACATGCAAAATCGGAACGAAACCAAACCTGATTTCAGAAAATATTCAGAACGGAAACGGAACGTAAACCAAGTTGACTGTGGTCTCAAATGAAGTGACAGAGAATTTGAACTTGGCAAACAGGTTGAAAGATAAGCAAAGTAAACATGCTCCAAAATGTCATTCATTTACCTTCAGATGATTGTAAAAAAAAAAAAAAAAGCGCCTGGTTTCTACTCTTCTGCTTCAGTCTGGAAAAGAGGACAATCCACGACTTCACACCGGAAACAAGGTGATACGGGAGGCGTGTGGTTCCTTGTGCAAATCGCTTAAAATATACAAGCGTGCAAAAAAAACACCTTTATATCAACCCACTGCTTCGCCCTCGCGATTCACTGTGAGCTGAAACCAGTGTGAAGGATGTTGACCAGATCTTAACGTGGCAATTCAGAAACAAAAAGATTCAAACCACCAAAATGCTCATCGGACTCCCGGTTTTCACCCAATGGGGCCAAGTACAGAAATTTACTTAAAAAGGGCAGTGATGTCACTTCACAAACTATGGCCCCGCCCATCTATCATCCAGCACGCTGCATCTCCATCATGTGTTTGAAAAACATGCATGACTGAGGACTACCAACTCAACACTGGAGTCAACTATTAAATAGACAGGAACATAAAAACATAAAAACAATGTTAATGTATGTCCTAAATGTTATCACAATTAGGACTAAAATGTCTTTATTTACAATTTTATAGATTGTATCTGCCATGAAAATAACATAAAATTACATTAAAAAACATTTAAGTGTTAATTATCAGCAATCAGACAAAATGAATATCGTTTGTTTTTGCTCTAATCATTGTGCAAGTGTGATTGATAATTTGAAAATAAAAAAATGGCACGTGTCCTTGAGAAAATTATTTAGAATAATTTCACTCCCTTATGAAAATGTATTTTCTTTAAAAGCAGAAGGGAAAGAGAGTAGGGATTTAATTGCCTGCAAAAAGCTGTTTTCCTAGAGCTAAAACAGTGCATTCATGGACTAAAAGTAGCATTCAGGCAGAGAAAAATCACTCATACAAACAGTATGACAGCAAACATCATTCTGTTAAACAAAGAAAGGGTCATTGATGGATAAGCAACACTTGATTTTTGTTTACATACATAAGAGGAACATAGAAAACCTCGTAAAAGAAGAAATAGTTTAGTCTCTACCCTATCACAAGTAATGTGATTCTCACAGCTGTGCACTGTTCTATACCGCTCTTATTGTCTAGTTTGTAAGATCAGCTTTGTCTTAAATATGCAAATTTGAATCTATGGGTGGAGCCAATCATGCAGTACCATTATTAATGATCCTCTACCATTTGAAGGTGCACAAGTCTGGTAAATACCAACTAGTTAATTTTATGATACAGCTGGCCGCGTGACTTCAACATTATTAGCATTACTTATCCTCTACCATTTTAAGGCGCATAAGTCTGGCATTTGCTATCCTCACCCCTTACTTAAAATATAAGTAAGATCTTGTGAACATCTGAGCACAATAGACGTCACAGAATTAGTTCTAGATGAGATGAATTAAGAAATCAGTCAAAATTAAGCCTCAGAAGATTATCTTCGTTATAGTGGTGTAAAACCTGCCTGTATGTGATCACACTGAGTTTATTGAGGTGGTTAAATTAAATCTCTTCCTGTTAACTCATTCTGTTTGAATAGCTGGGTGTGGCTCATATTCAGAGTCCCACCGCAGATTGAGAATAAAGCAGGCCTTTATAGAATGGCCACAGGTCTGAGATCAGCATCTGAGGGGGTTGCTCTGTTTGAACAGTGCGTGTAATCTCTTTCTGTGGTTTCAGATAGCCAACTCAAACAACGTGCATTGGCTAGCGCACCTGTTTAGACCAGCTATTCAAACATGCCTACAAACTTCCCTCTTACACATACACGAATATTGGCTAAATTTAGGTGCCACAGACACCACTTTAATGTGAAAGTGCTCAGATTTGGGGTAAAATGCTCTATTTGTTTAGTGGTCATATATAGTAAGAAAATATGTACATGATTGGTGGTCAATACAGTTTTAAAAAGTGTTTTCTAATTAACCCTAATGTGGAACAACAACAGGAAAGAAAAGGAAAAGTGCCTATATTATAAAGACTTTAGAAAATCTCTGTATTGAACAAATACATGTGAACAAAAAAATATGACCCTGTCAAACCCAAAGTTTGGACAGAATGGGCAATGTGTTTAAAACAAATGAAAGAGAAATGAAAAATCCTCCACTTTGAAAAGTCAGTAGATTCTTCTACATCATTTTATCTACATACTGTTTGTGCTGCCATTGTCAGCAAAGTATTTGCACAAGTTTTCCATTGCAAAACATAAAAAAACAATTTATCAGGCTAAAATGAAATATGAAATATTTCAGGTATACATCTGACAACACATGATGTGACTTTTCAGAACAACATCACTGTGTAGCTTCACATGTTAGTAATAGAAAGTGTGGTTTGTTTGCAGATTGTGCGCTTTAAGTTCATTTGAAACAGAAAGGCATCAGAGCCAACACAATATAAATAAAACACTACACTACAACATGATTGAATTACACATTAAAATAACATAGAATATTAATAGGAAAATCAAATCATCATTCATCCGCTGACATCAAAATAATATGATTGGTCCCACTTATTCTGCACTTGAGTTAATGGCTTGCACAGGCCCCAGAATTCAAATATTTATTCTTCCTTCTCTTATCAGTCAAGTATAATGGAGAAGATCAAATTAGGCTTGTTTGTCCTCTGAAGTGAGAGTCATGCATGGGTCAAGCATTTTTGATGAGTTCTATTGTTCTAATATGTCACCATGGTAACAGAACACTATGACCTCAGCAGTAATCTTATAATAATAGCTTTCTTGAAGGCCTCTGTTTTAAAACAAAGCTGATGAAGGGTGGCCGTAAAAGTCTGTATTTCTCTATAAAATACTAAATCATCAAGGTTAAGGCTGTCTAATATCATTTATACAATAAGATTTCACGTTACAGAATGCATTTGATTCCATTTTTGTATAAAACAAATTGAAACAGTATGGAATTACCGGTAAAAAGCTCATAAAAAAATACAGAAAAGCAACTCAAAGTCATACTATTCAACAATAAGGTATTACATTCCAAATTACAGCCAGCTCTACACACCAGAAAAAAATTAAGGCTACGTTTCTGAGGCATTCTGGGTGTGAATTGATGCTAGCAGAGCATGTATTTTTGTTATGGGTAAGTGGAGATGATATTATGACACCAGGGAGTGCTGTTTCTGCTCTAAATGCTGAATAAGAGCCAGTTTTTTAAAAGATGTTTAATCACATGGTCTCCTCATCTTTCGCTTAGGCCTGCCAGTTCAGTCTCCTTCGGATGCAGACATTACACATGACTAGACGTTACTCAAAAAACATAAAAACGATCCAACAGAACAAACAGCAATAGTTATGAATCACTGACCACTGTCTCCCAGTATAGGCCACTGATGACCCACTTGCACACCACAGCACGTGCACTGAATGAACATGTGGGATCAACATTCAGGGAATGATTACTGTACACATCGCCTGCACGTGTGCAGTTTGTTATCTGTCTAATATTCTCCCAATTCAAAATGTCTGAGTGTTTTTATCCGTATAGATTAAGAGGCAGTACTGGGCTGCCTTTAGCAACCTCCAGAATTAAGTTAAAACTATGAACAAGTTGAGGTAAAACTTAAATGATCCCAGACTGGAGCGATTCTTTTGTAAAAATTATATGTGCTCTTGTCCACATAAGGTCCGAAGTGAAGCGACTGTGACTTCTTAGGTATTTTGTCTGGAGGTTTCCTCTCATTGCCACTGGCTTCCTTCCTGTTGCAGTACCACAGTGTGACCAACAGAGGGAGGTTTAGTCTTCAGGCATCAAGTCCCATGACTTTACTAGTTGACCAGGAGGACGTCCTCATATGTGGTGGTTCTGCAGGGTTTCACCAACAGACACGATTACAGCCTTCAGTTATAGTAAAAACTAAAATATGTAATTTTTTATGCTAAAATGTATTTTATGTTAAAGGAGTCCTATTATGCTTTTTCACTTTTTGAATTTTAGTCAGTGAAGTAAATTTTAGTCAGTGTGTATGTTGGGGCATAAAAAAGATATAGAAAGTTACAAATCTCAAAGTCCACTCAAGTTTTCGCAAGTTATTACACATGCACTTGAATAATTATGTATGTAAATATGTATGTTACAATTATGAAAAGTTTTTATATTAAATGGCTGACAGTACAATACTGGACAATGATGTAATCTGCAGAATTTACACTTCAATTATGAGACTACAGTGTTTCCCATACACTGAGTGCGGGTTTTTTTATATCACTGTATTTCTGAAGGAAACCGACTGTCTGGATGAAAAATGGATGTAATTTTCATTTAATCTTGCATGTAATATCTGATAAAGCAGTGTTTTTTTGAGCGAAGCACCGGGGAAACCTTGATCTCTACCACTCCAACAGCGCCTCCTGCTGCCAGAGAATAAGTTTGCTATGAGTTTATTGGCACCCTTGGTAATAATAATTCTGACCACGACTGTATATGCCGCCTGGGAAACACTGGACTATGGTATAAATAAATTCAACTGTATAACAGTTTCAATGCAATTTATGTTATAATATTAGAATTAAATAACAATAAAAATAATACATATGCACTTATATGTACATAGTAAATGCAGTTATTTTTAAGCGGTTGTTGACATCCTATCTAAATTTAGATTTAGCCAAAAAAAACAACAATAACGTTACCACTCTAATAGGTCTCGCAATATCCGTGCGTGCAAAGGTTCTGCGGAATCCTCTTGTTCAATATTCTCTGGGTCTGAATCAGGCTCAAATTGATATGGCAATATTGACGCCTATGGAGTCAATATAATGCCACATATATATGCAAAATAATAAAGTTTTGCATATATTTTGCAATTCTTTATTTTTGTTTGCAAAAAACACATTTATTTTTTCTCAATACTTTTATTTTCGTTTGCAAAACTTTATTTTATTTTGCAAAACTTTATTTTCTTTTGCAAAACTTTATTATTTTGCATATATATGTGGCATTATATTGACTCCATAGATGCCATCCTTAACTAAACCGGAGCAGACGGAACTTGCAGCTTTGGCAAGGGGCGGGGCAGTACTGAAACACCATCTAAGCTGTTCGCCAATCACAACGCACTGGGATAGCTAACCAATCACATCACATTTCGTTTTTCAGAAGGCGGGCCTTCATCAAACCCGGAACTAATCGAGTTGTTTGTGCCAGGATGGGGAGAAAGGTATTGTAATCATGTAAATTATGTTAAAAAAATAATGCGTTTTTCGAACCACCAAGCATGAGAGCATGTTCTAGCACACCCCCAAAACAAATTCAAGACATTGTAAAAGAGCATAATAGGACCCCTTTAAAATATTTTCTCCTATCACTGTTTAAAGTCGCGATGACACGGAAGTAGTGACAGATCTTTTCTTCCATATTGTTACTGATTATTGAAAAAAGAAAATGTAGGGCGAGGACTTTATTCTATGCATCAGTTGTTGATTGGATATTGAGATTTGGGTGTTGCACTCAAAGTACACTGTAAAAAAAGATTTTTCAAATTTGTAATAAAACAAAGATTACCGTTTTAAAAGAAAATATAATTTCAGTCTTTCAACTTCAATTTTTCATGTTACTTGCTATTTCTTTGTAATTAATTTTTCTGTAAAAAGCTAGGATATGTTGAATAATATTAATTTGTTGCTTTGCCTGTTTCTGATGTGCACGGTGCCTCCTGCCATTTAAAGGCAAGTATGTGTTTGATTTCTTTAAGATTAACGGATTAACTTTTTTCCAAGGCATTGTTAGATGCCAGTGTTTCCTGACATATCTATACAAAGATTTGATTACAAAAAAAAAAACAGCATCATTGCTATTAAACAATTTCTTGTTATGATTATAAATCAGTATTTAACCTCAGAATTGTCTCAAAGTATAAAGAGGTACTAAAGTCTGATTTTGTGGTGACTGTGCTTTAAAATAAATTATTCTTAATTTAAGTGATGAAGGATTTTTAAAGTCTAACAGTATTCAGTGTTGAGTACTACTGTAAGGTTAATGCTGCAGTTGAAAACAAACATTCATTAGTAATGTATAAAAGTAATCAGAAAGTAATCAGTTACATTAATAACGTAATTGAAATGGTTACACTACTTATTTCATTTTAAATAGGGTAACTTGTAATCTATAATATTTTCAAAGTAACCTTCCCAGCACTGATCTATAGCATGCATTTAGAAAATAGATAGGGTGAATTTATATTTCACGCTGACTTTATGGTGTAGTAACGACCATAAGCTGGTTCAGTAGGTTGATTTTCTTAAGAATATAAACAGTGGGATGCCATCAAAGAAAAATTGCAAAAAAAAACAAATTTTTGCAATTCTATTTGGTAACACAAGTGGAAATTATATACTTTACCTTTAAGAGCTGGTATCTCTCTTAAACATCAATGTATGCAATGGTATTATCTGTGCTCTTCTCTACTGCATTCTAATTATTTTGAATGTATCAGCAATACATTTGTGTTAATTAGTGGCGGTTAAATTTGTGATTGCTGATATTAAGAAGCATTTTCTTTGTTTCTATGGTGACACACCTGTCACAGCAGCAGAAGAAAGAGCACGGCGAGGTCTCGATGCCGCGGAACTTTCCAGAGCTGGGTGTGTCGGTGCACTCCGCGATGAACGCATGCAGATCAGTGATATGGATAGGCTCCTGAGTTTGATGCTGAATGGAAATGAAAGGATATCATGTTACTATAATCAAGCTGTTTGGATCATCTTACTCCACATTTCGTTTTACTACCTGCCACATTTAACACTTTTCTGAGTTAATCAGGAAAAAAAAATACTGATAATTTACAAATGACAGGAATACAAAATAGATCATAACTGTGTAAAAGTAAAACTGATAAAAAAAAAAGAATAAACAGATTAAAAAAGTAATTAAAATAAAAAACGCAAATAAATTGGTATGGTTAAAATAGTTATTTTACAAAGACAGGTATGTTTATATATGCGTGTGTGTGTGTGTGAGAGAGGATATCATTAACAAAAACATGTTTTTCAATTCTATCTCTGCATCTGCCTCGTCTTTACCTTGATGGTCTCATAAGCTCCAGTGATAAGAGCGATAAAGAGAGAGAGCACCATGTAAATGAACAGAGAGATGAACGTGTAGAGGTAAACCTGCAAAAGAAACAGAGTATATTTACTGCTCTGAATCCTGTAGCACCTGTGTGAGGACGTGAAGGTGAAACTCACCTGACTGAAGACCCAGACGAGCATGCTGCTCTCTTGCATGCCACTGAAGGTCACAAACATGTCATCTCCATTGATCAGAGAGAAAAGACACTCAGACACCAGCGAGAGAGAGCGGAACTGAGGAAACAAAACAAACACCATCAACACCACATGCCATATATAATGAGAGAGAGGACACATGTGCATTTGTTTATTTATACACGAATGTTCAAAAGTTTAGTTTTTAAATGTTTTTGAAAGTCTCATATGCTCACTAAGGCTGTATTTATTTAGTAAAAAAAAATACAGTAAAAACAGTAATAATTGTAGTAACAATATATATATTTTTTATTTTACTGCCTTTTTTGGACATGTTCCATGTAGTACCACATTGAATTATTTGAATTATAATTGAATTATATTGAATTTGTGTACCTTAACATGGTAGGGTCCCAGCACAATCCACCCACAGAAGCAATAACCGAGGTAGATCACCGCCACACAGCAACAGAAACGGATCACATTAGGGAATGCAGCTCTTAAAGTGACAATGAGAATCTGAGAAAGGAAAACACCATATAGTACATAAAATCCACATCCTAAAAAAAACATCTCGGTTGTTTCACAAGCAAATCTCCACGAGAGATGTGGTGACATTTCAGGTGCATTTAATGATAGAGTGAATGGCACCAAAATAAAAAATGTACCAAAAAAAGAATATAGTTGTTATTTCAAGACAATACTTTTCTTCAAAGTGTAGTACATTTATTCCAAAATTTTGATAGAGTTCCAGGCTTGGTAGTGATATATTTCAAATATATTTCATATCTTAAATGCACAGCATGAATAAGGTTAGGCAGGAATTTTACGTTTATTTTCAGCCGATGACAGTGAAAATCTAGAAATGTAAGCAACTTTGTTACAAATAATTTACGAAATAATATACAACATGGCCAGTGTAACTGCATGAACACAAGTGTGTGGGTGAGTTTGTTTCTCACATTGTACTTCTGAAAAAAGGTGAGGTAGCGAATAACTCCAACCCAAACCAATAACGTCGAGGTGCCCATGAGGATCCCGCACTCATCGTAGGATGAGAGGTTCTGAGGGTTGAAACAAAGTATGAAATATCCCTGCTGATTGTGCCGACCCAATGCAATGCCTCCGTACACATAAATGTTTCACAATTTCCATTTTCTGCACTGACTGACCTTTAGCTCAATGCCGATCTTAATAATGGAGCCTGTGATAGTGAGCACGTCGCTAATGATGAGCAGAATATACCATCCGTTAATAAACTCCATTCTGTCTCCCCAACAGACATGACGCTTCAGAGAGCTCTTAAAGTACTTCACAAACTCCTGAAGAGAAATATAAGAGAGAATGTTAGCGCAGGATTCGCTATGTAATCACTGTCACAATAATGTGGATTTGTCTGATACAATGTCTTACATTTTGAAGAATGATTCCTCTGATGATCGAGCGACCACAGAGGAGCAGAGAGAAAATACAAACCACTATAACGGCCACATCAAACCACACACGAGCATAACTATCAGCTGGAGACAGAGAAACAGCATGAGCACAAGCATATATAATGAATATCCACAATGTAAAAAATGATATGTGGGGTAGTTGAGTCTTACCGTGTCCAGACACACTGGGGTCTCTACATTCCTTAATGGAGGCCTGATTATCAAGACTGATCTTAACTTTACCACTGTGAGCTTTGTTATCCAGCAGAATCTGAACATAAAACAGGGCCAATTATATACAGTATATCAAATTATTTTGAGTGCATATTTTGTGCATAACTATCAAAAGTTGATAGTTATGCACAAACAAAAAAATTACATAGCCAAATAGGAAGAAAAAAAATGTAAACGCATTGGGTCAAAACTAAAAACTAAAATTACAGACATTTTAAATAAAATGTATTTTCATATTTTAGAATTATAAATATAATTATATGACATATATAAAAAAGTATTAATTATGCACTCTAACTCACTTGGCAAATTGGAAACGAAATCATTTAAGGGGGTCTGAATACTTTCCGTACCCACTGTATATATATGTTTATTATATGAGCTCTATATATGCCTTTTCTCCATATACATTTCTAATTGTATAAATACAAAACTGTTTAATATTAACATATAGAAATGTATAACATTACTAGTTAGTTAAAACTAAATTCCAATTGCCCAAATTGGAAACAGAAAATCTCGATACACTGGGCTGAAAACTAAAAATGACAGATTTTTCAAATTAAAAGGTATTTCAAAAAACATTTTAAAATGACACATTCTTTAAATAATTCATATTTTATCATTTATATATATCCTTACATGCACATTGTTTTTTCTCCATGTCAAATTTCCGTTAACAGATCTGTTAAAGTGACAGTTTTCTTAAAAAAAAATGTTAGTTTAC